GTTGATGGAAACGAGCTGAGCATACTCCCGCAAGAGCTTTTGCAGCACAGCCCGTGGCTACAAGTTCTCGATCTCAGCGAAAACTTGTTGACCTCGCTGCCACACAACATCCTTGATAAAATTCCTTTGTTGGAGACCCTCGACCTTGCCTCAAACAAGCTGACTGAATTGCCAGGCAAAATCTTTTCAGGGCTCAGCAAACTGCAGGAGCTCGTCCTGCGTTCGAACGAACTCAGTGTGTTGCCTGCTGAAGTCTTTTCAGGACTCAGCAACTTGCAGGAGCTTTACTTGAATTTCAACGAGCTCAGTGAGCTGCCTGCTGAAGTCTTTTCAGGACTCAGCAACTTGCAGGAGCTTTACTTGAATCAAAACGAGCTCAGTGAGTTGCCTGCAGAAGTCTTTTCTGGACTCAGCAACTTGCAGGAGCTTTACTTGAATTTCAACGAGCTCAGTGAGCTGCCTGCTGAAGTCTTTTCAGGACTCAGCAACTTGCAGGAGCTTTCCTTGTATCGAAACGAGCTCAGTGAGCTGCGTGCTGAAGTCTTTTCAGGACTCAGCAACTTGCAGGAGCTGGACCTGGAATACAACGAACTCAGTGTGTTGCCTGCTAAAGTCTTTTCAGGACTCAGCAACTTGCAGGAGCTGGAACTGCGATACAACGAACTCAGCGAGTTGCCTGCTGAAGTCTTTGCAGGGCTCAGCAAGTTGCAGAAGCTCGACCTGCGATCCAACAAACTCAGCGAGTTGTCTGCCAGTCTGTTTTCAGGGCTCAGAAATTTGCAAGATCTCAATCTGGGGACCAACAAACTCGGCCAGTTGCCTTCTGCAGTCTGGTCCAAATCGTTCGCAGGGCTCAGCAGCTTGCAGAAGCTGTACTTGAGCCAAAACGATCTCAGCGAGTTGCCTGCTAAGGTCTTTTCAGGGCTCAGCAAGTTGCATAAGCTTGACTTGTATCAAAACGAGCTCAGTGTGCTGCCTGCTGAAGTCTTTTCTGAGCTTGGCAACTTGCAACAGCTTTATCTCTGTTGGAACAAGCTGAATGAATTGCCTCCTGAAGCCTTTGCCAACCTGTTTGCAGAGCTCAGTAACCTGCAGGTGCTCGACTTGGGATGCAACAATCTCAGTGCGTTGCCTTCTCAAGGCTTTGCAGGGCTCAGAAACCTGCAGGTGCTCAACTTGGGCAAGTGCAAGGAGATCACCTCGGACGTAGGCGTAGGCTTCTATATGGATCTTTTAATTATTTCGGATTACCAAAACAGATTGAAGTCTCGGACAAACCAGATCAGCAAGTTGCCCGCTAAGTTCTTTTCCGGGCTTGGCAACCTGCAGAAGGTTTACCTTGATTCAAACAATCTGACCCAGTTGCTTGCGAACGTCTTTTCAAGCCTCAGCAGCTTGCAGATTCTCGACCTGAGTAGTAACGATCTCACTCACTTGCATGCTGAAGTCTTTGCAGGGCTCAGCAAGTTGCAGAAGCTTGACCTGGATGAAAACAAACTCAGTGAGCTGCCTGCTGAAGTCTTTTCAGGACTCAGCAATTTGCAGGAGCTTTACTTGAATCAAAACGAGCTCAGTGAGTTGCCTGCTGAAGTCTTTTCAGGACTCAGCAACTTGCAGGAGCTTTACTTGTATGGAAACGAGCTCAGTGAAGTGCCTGCAGAAGTCTTTTCAGGACTCAGCAACTTGCAGGAGCTTTACTTGGATGGAAACGAGCTCAGTGAGTTGCCTGCTGAAGTCTTTTCAGGACTCAGCAACTTGCAGGAGCTTTACTTGTATGGAAACGAGCTCAGTGAGTTGCCTGCTGAAGTCTTTTCAGGACTCAGCAACTTGCGGGAGCTCGTCCTGCGTTCGAACGAACTCAGTGTGTTGCCTTCTGAAGTCTTTTCAGGACTCAGCAACTTGCAGGAGCTGGACCTGAGTTGGAACACGCTTAGTGAGCTACCTGCTGAAGTCTTTTCAGGACTCAGCAACTTGCAGGAGCTTTACTTGTATCAAAATGAGCTCAGTGAGCTGCCTGCTCTAGCCTTTGCAGGGCTCAGCAAGTTGCAGAAGCTCGACCTGCGATCCAACAAACTCAGCGAGTTGCCTGCTGAAGTTTGGGATGATGTTTTTCCAGGTCTCGACAACTTGCAGGAGCTTCGCTTGAACGGAAACGATCTCAGCGAGTTGCCCGCAATTTGTTCAAGTATCGTCTGCTGATGAATCCCTGAGATATCCGGCTTAGATCGGCTTAGTGGATGTCCTTTCTGATCGAAAATGGGTCGAGCTGCGGGGATCAGGTTGTAGTCTCGCTCTTTCCACCAGGCTGCATGGGTTTCTGGTGACGACTCTGAGGTCCCGGAGCCGGTCTCCAAGCACCAAGGCCGAAACCGGGAGCACTTGAAGTATGTTCAAAATCAGCAAAGGCATCAGGGTTTAATGATAGTTTTGTGGTTTTCTCATGTTTTATCCAAGTTTCTGTCCTGCTTCGCCTGGTGATTTTTTGGAGTTTGGACTCGATTGCTGTGGGATGAGATGGCATGTCTTGCTGTTTTTTTTGGCTGGCAACTACCTGAAAACTCATTTTCACTCTTTGTAAGGTTCAATGTATAGCCCTCCGGCAAGAAAACAATCAGGTCTGTCGGGAGCGGAACAGAAATTGTTTGTTTTGAACCTGGAAGGAAGCTGCTGAGAGAGGTGTAACAAAGTTTCCATCTGGCCAAACACAAGTCCCGACTCAACACCTTCCAGATCCTTCCAGGCTATTTCAGTTTTTTTAAAGATGAAAGGCGTGCCTTGTCACTGACTGATTCTTGGAATTTCAGTTCCCTTGACCGAAACGTGTCTTTGTGCTGTTCGTATCCAACGGTGTTTCGAGTTCTCAGTGGCAAGACACACCTGGTGCTCAGGCCACGCTACGACAGTCAGCGACCAGGCGCCGGAAAAGACTTTGGGCGCTGGGCGTCGCAATTTTCTGATGTTTTTTTCGCGATTCACATTGAAACAGCACCACTTGAATCCAGAACATCAGAACTAAAATGAAATACGACCAATTGTTTGTTCGTGGCTTGGTGGGCGCACTTGCAGCACGGTGGCATAGTGGCGGTCACAATATCATCATGCGGTTTTATAAAAACCATGGGCCGCCCACTGCGACATGGCATATGATCCACATCTTCGACAACCAACCGGAAAGATTATGAAAATCGGATCTTTTCCTTTGGATCGTTTAGTAGAGAAGGGCCGTAAATGAGTGAGTTTAGGTGGGCCTATGGGCCTATAGCTTTGCACTAAAAGCCCTACAGGTGATCACAGCACGGAATGCGAATGGGGTTCCGATATTTTGATCATTGGCTGCGCACCCAAGAATCAATGCTCGGGGATACTGCCTTCAATATCAATCAATTGATATCATATTTTCATTGATATTCATAAATCAATGATAAATATAAATAAAGTTTAATAAATATACATCATATTGTCTGGTTGAACTCACCCTGGGGTTGTTACGCAGTTCATGACCTGGGCACCTGGGTACCTGGGCACCGGCAGGTCACGTCACCTAGCTGCGGGTTCTCCACGTGGCGTGGAAAGGACGCCAGGCCGGAGAGACGATGCGCGAGAGTCGTAATGAGGACACGACCAGGGGCTTTAGAGTTGACATGGGTTGACATGCTGATTTTTACATCATCATGAATCATCATGAATCATCATGAATCATGAAAACAGTGAGATTGTGATGGATTGTGGCTTTTCAGTGGCAGCATATGTTGGAAACGTCTAGAAGATTCAGTGATCTTTCCATATCATTTTATCCTAGGGCATATACGATATGGTCGAGTGAGCGTGGAAAGGCCAGCTGTACGAAGCGAGACACAACGCTTTGCACTTTCCGTTGAATATCGGTATTATCCAAGTTGTAGGGATCTCTGAATTTGTCAAAAAAACACGGAAATTTCAGCTCCAGGTCCTCAGATGGATTTCACGTGTTTTTTTTCTGGATGAAAAACACATCCCAAGTGGGTTCGGAAACAGGCGAACCGCGGGGCTGCCACGTTGGACAGCGAGGCAGGAAGTGGAGCTGGAACGGATAGAAATACTGGCGTCAAGGGAGAAGTTTCCGCGGAGCTTTCGGATTTCCGTTGTGTTTTTTCCGGTTTTGAGGCCTTTCAAATATGTTGAATAACAAACGTAATTGGAATCTGTTTTGTCTCAGAAAAGTGGAGTTGGGTCCAGTGGGTCCACCTAGTGCCCGAGATGAGGGTCCTAGCAGGTGGCACGTCCAACCAACATGTACCCGGTAGGTCCAATTTGGTGATCGGAGATATCAACTTTTGCAGTTGATGTTCCTGTACTGAAAATTGGGTTTTCATTGCCAGGTTTGATTGGAGGGAAAAGAAGTTCAAAGTTCATCAAAGTTCATCAAAGTTCATCAAAGTTCACTGTTTACCTTTTCTCAGTTCGGTTTGAGTCGTGACACCACTTGTCCGTTGCCCCCACTTGGCGTTGCAACCTTGTCCGGTACCACCCGGCAGCATGGACATTCGGTGCATCTTGCCACCATGATGCATGCCACCTGAGGACGCCACGTTGTCGCACTATGTTGGAACAGAGTTGTTAGAAGGATCCTTTAGGATCCTTCAGGGTTCGGCAAAACAAAGTTGAGCCACGATATGCATTAGGCTTGATTAGGCTTGATTAGGCTTGACAGCTGCAGGACTTCCCTGCAGAGGTCCTGGAAGAGCTCGGAAACCAAGCGTTGAGACGTGTGGGTCATGTTTACTGTGTTGGTTCTTTCGGAGGTGTTGCAGATTGTCTCCGCTTCTCAAGACGGACCTGTATCACAGCATTCGGTGACACTCACCTCGACATGAAACGGCCAGCCAAGCACATTGAGAACAAAGCAGCCAAATCTCATGTTGCGTAAGAGAAAGTATTTGATAAACCATGGACAAATCTGTGTATTGTTACAGACTGCACTGAATTCGTGCCACTGGACAGCGCAAAGGACTCGCTGCCTCATGTCGGTTTCTGTGGATATTCCTGGACATGGTTACTTTGATATCAAACTGACTGCTTCGAGCACCGCTGCTGACATTATTTTACTGCTACGTGAGCGTTTGCCAGACAGCCCATGGCATGGGAACAAGTTGCTGTCAAGTGGGGTCTGCCAGCTGCAGTGCGATGACATTGTGGAGGCAACCCATCGCAGCACGTTGGTCTTGGCAAACTATTCAGAGATCACCAACCAGGAGACACACCTGCCTCTTTGTTCTTTTTTTTGGCAAAAAGGCGATATAACCAATAGGATCAAATAGAATAAAGAGAAAGTGTATCTATAGAAGTCAATCTTTTGAATTTCAGAGATTGCAGGCCCATTATTCCACCTTTGAAGGTACTGCATAATGCTTCAATTGAATTCCATTCCAATTTCATTTGCTGCATTTGTTGGTCGCCCCACACACGTCGAAGGAGACTTTCTGCATCAAAGATACTGCAGAGCGAGGGATCACTCGCGAGCAATTGGCAAAGATCGTTGTTTTCATCTCCAAGATGGCTGACAGATGGTGCGAGACTTTCGGAGAACAGCGTGGGACAAGGCTGCAGTTTGAGACCTTCAACTTGTATCATGCGAATCATTGGATCATCAAACCAGCCACCGAAGCCTGGATTTGTTGATGATGTGACAACATTTTCCAATTTGTTGAATCTACCGTTGTTCTTTTTCTTTTGATGGCAACATTATGCAGAATCCCAGGACGGCTATGCGAAAAAGGGCTGCAGCATGGTTGAGATCATGGCGATTCAAGTGCAGAGACCTCACTGGTTTGTGTCGCATGCTTGGATCGAGCCTTGGATAGGTAAACTCTGGAGGAGGTTGTTTGAGACCGTGTTATTTCATTGTCTGTCGGCAACAAGTTACTTTTTCCACTAATAATTCACATTCCCAAGAAATGAACATCCAGCGTAGTGATAGATGAAAGTCAATCTATTACTTTGAAGCACGTCCAATTTTGTGTTGGGCAGATCTGTGAGGAGCCTGTTTGTAAGTTTCTGGCCTGCTTGGAGCAGCATGCTCTGGTGCGAGAACTCTCAAGCAGTACATTCTATTGGGTCTGTGCATATGCCAATAACCAGCACTGCGTGGAAGAGGATATCAAAAGCAACCCACGCAGCACTTCATTCTACAGAGCTATGCAGATGTCTGAGGGAGTTCTTTTGGTGCTGGATTCAGCTGGAACGCGCACTGTGTTTACTTCTTTTTTATTTCAGGCAGGTTTCGCTTCCTTTGAGTTTTGCTTGGAGAAGTATGGGAACTTGATTCTCGCAGATGGCATACTATGGCGTCTTAACTACTTCACTTCGGTGAGGAGCAGGTTGACGTCCGCTTACAACAACAACAACAACAGCGACGGTGTCTCAAAATTCGTTTGGCAGCACAGCACTTAGGCACTCGCATTGCATTGGTGCATAAGTTGGTGATATCTTTATTTGCTTGGTCCGGTGCTTTTCATCACTTCAGTGCAAGAACCATTCGAACATGGACATCTATGATCGAAACTGCACTTTGGGGTCGAAGGGCTCCTCCAGGTAGGAGCCGGCTGCTCTTTTGGAATTCTTTGGGTTCTGCAAGACTACATCCGATGTTTGCGCTCCAGTTCACCGCCGCCCGGGCGGAATGGAATCGGCAATGCCGCCGTGCCCAAGGGTTGCCTGCAGCTACCTCGCCTGCTCCTCGCTGGAAAGCAGTGCTTAAAGATTGGAAATGGCGACTTGACGATGGCCTGTGGCACACGCCTGCTGGGATTTTGAAACCTGGGTGGATGTCTTTGAAAAGCTTGCAAAAAGCCGCTATCCATTCATGGCTCCTTGGTTTGTGGACTAAAGACACCAAAACGGATGGTCGATGGCCAAACGGCAAGGAGCCGGTTTTCCTTTTTCAGGCAAATGCAGCTTTAGGCATGGATTACTACAGTCGCAGGGTTTTGACTGGTGCTGCAGTGGATGGCAGGGTCACAGAGCGCTTTGGTTCTGCTTTGAGTTGTGAATGTGGATTGCGGTCTCCTGATCGAGAACATCTCACTTTTCACTGCCAAGCGCAGCCATGGGATGGTGAGTTCAGGAGCGCTACTGAACGTCGTTTGCTGGTTCCACTTGTGGATGCTCCTCCTGTGTTGCCTTTTTCCAACATGGTTGCAGATCCTGCTTTGGTTACTTTTATTCAGCAATTCGATCCTCTTCAGCGACCCACCTTGGGTTTGGACGGCAGTTGTATCATAGCTAATTCCTGTGATCGATGGCAAAGAGCTAGCTGGGCGGTTTCGACACTTTCAGGCACCACTGTTCAAGGTGCCGTGACTGGTTTTGAGCAAACACCTGCTGCAGGTGAGCGTGCTGCTCTTCTGCAAGCTTGTTTAGCCTCTTCTGCAGCTAACAGACCGGTGATGCTCTTGATTGACAATCAGGCTTTGGTGCGGCGGCTTCAGCGAGGCATTAGCACTGGACGTTGGGAGGGTGACTTGCCGCTTTTCTGGCAGCGGATCAGCGGCTTATTGATTCAGGGCACTGTTTGCACTTGGATCCCTTCTCACAACAAGGTGCCTGACTGGACACCACCAGATGGTTGGATTGATGTTCATCTCTGCCGCGTTCTCAATGCGACAGCCGATGCTCAGGCAGGTGAGGTGTTGCGTGACTCACGCTCCATGATCGCTGCGGCTGTGCAGCGACATCAGCGAGCCGTGGCTTGGGCTGCAGCAGTTTGGTGTCTGCAGAGGCTACGGACTTTACCTTTTTGGCAAGTCGTACTTGATCAACAAACATTCCATGCGGAATGCTAGCTGGCGCACTGTGTTTACTTCTTTTTTATTTCAGGCAGGTTTCGCTTCCTTTGAGTTTTGCTTGGAGAAGTATGGGAACTTGATTCTCGCAGATGGCATACTATGGCGTCTTAACTACTTCACTTCGGTGAGGAGCAGGTTGACGTCCGCTTACAACAACAACGGAACGCCTTTCGAAAGGATTTGGTGCTGCTTCGAGGAAGCCATGGCCACAGCCTTAGAAATTCCTAGAAGTGCGAGAAAGCATCATAGAACGAGAAAAAAGGTGACATGAACGTGAGTTTTTTTGATTTGTGAGTTCTGCCTGAAGGGACACGTTTTGATTTGTCCAGCTATCAGCTAGCTTGTTTCAGTGCAAAATGCGATTTGCATACATGTGAATGGGGTATAACGAGCAGGAGCAACACCAGGTCATGTTCGTAAAGGCAGGCAATGCTTCAGTAGATAGTGGATCGAAGGAGACACTGGTGTAAACAATTCCGGTATTTTCACCCTAAAAGCGACCAAGGCGATCGAACATCGAGAGGGCAACTGGTCCAGACGACGTTTACTGCTTGATGTGGGAGCCACTGACGCATATGACAAAGCTGCTCGACACAGAAGGGGTGGCCTTGTGTGGACATTTCCTTTGCGTGGTCTGCTCGAAAGGTTGAGACCATCGCCTTTACCGTAACCCCATTTCTGTACCATGGTGAACCGTTTCACATCACCTTACTGTAAGCCTCCATTTCCATATATCGTTACAAAGAGGTGATAAGTGATAAGTGATGTTTTGACCCTTCCAAACTTGTTGATCTCTGAGGCTCACGTGCTTACTGATGGACTTGCCGGAGCGGAAAGTCGAATGATTGGCATCATCGGGTTGCACCACAAAGCAGCTCGTGAGCGTCACTTTCCTCTGGACCTTTTAGAAAAGGGCTTGAAGGTAAAGATTGAAGAAACTTGCTGCGGGATTGCAAGAAACTTTTGCTGTTTTGACGTTGTTTGGAGAACCGTTTTATGAATTTGGACGATCGATTGAATGGACAAGGTCCATGGTCCATTGTTCATATTGTTCCATTTGCATTTTATGTATGTCACCTCGCAAAAATAGCTCATTCTAATTTAAGTTCTCTCTTTTTCCAGAAGGTGTCCGAGCCATAATCATGAGTTTGAATGTTGGACAGCTCAAGGAAGCTCATGCCACGCAGAACATCGACAAAGTTCGTATACTGAACAGCATAGCTCTTTCTCGTCTTGGAACTTGTGACTTTGAGCTTTTGCAGTCGTACCCCGCTGGGGATCCGAATTTCCAGCGAGTAGATGAAGCTCTTGCTTCGCATTTCGCTTTATCCAGCTGGTACGGATTTGTCCTTCAAGGAAGATGCACTGAACTTCTGGCCAGAGCTGTAAAGGCAGACGTTGGTAGAAAGATAGTGCAGC